TGCTGGAAAATTTTTGGAGGAGGTGGAAGCTTGTTGTGTCCGGAAGAAAAATGAGTTTTTATAGATATTAATTAGGGTTTTTAGGCAAAAAGGGTTTTGGTCCTCAATTTCTCCCAATTCATCCAATTAAATGTAATTTTAGTTGTCCGAACTTCAATGGCACCCTAAATTACCATTACCGAGGGTGTTTCTTAATTATTTTTTCTTAATTTAAGGATTTGATATTTTTTGACTTTTTAATTATTTTTCCTTTGATCGATTTATTCTAGCTCTCAAACTTTCTTTCTAATTTCTTTCTTATTTTTTTAAATTTAATTAGGCTAATTTGAACTATGTATTTAAATTTATCTTTTCCTCTTTTTTTTTTTTTTTTTTTTTTTTTTGTATTTGTTTGCATTTATTTTTTTGTTATTATTTTATTTTTAAAAAAATAACAAAAAAAAGGGGGGGATTGGATATTAACATTATAAAATAATCAAAATTTCTTATATAACCCTAGATTTTCAATTACATCTCATCCGTCCTTAAAAGTATTCAAAATATTTAATCTGTCCTTCCAAACAACTTTTTCAACTATACGAAATTTTTTTTATCAAAATGTCCTTGTTTGAAATGCAAAATAAATAAATAAATAAAAACTTTAAAAATGAAAAATACAGTTCATATGACTCTAAGTGTTTTTTTTTCTTTTTTCATTTAAATAAAGGGCATTTCGATTAAAAAAATTTATCCATAGTCGAAAAAATTGATCGGAAAGGCAGATTGAATATTTCAAAAAAACTCAAAGACAAATGGGATGCAATTGAAAATATAGGGACAAATGAAAGATTTTGAGTATTTTATAGATATATTTATCCAAAATTAAATGACTTGAATTTAAATAGTCGGAGAATAAATAAATAAATAAATAAATTACTTGAGTTTAAATAACTCGAAGGTAAATAACCTAAACACATGTAAAATAAATAACTTGAAAATAGAATGGTCAACATTATTGAAGAAAATAATTTTATAAGAAGAATGAATTTATAGCTTAAGTCAATCCTTAGTGGAGTCGTCATATTGTCGCTACTCAACGATATGAATCCAAATGATTATTAAGATGAGTTTAAAAAAAACAAAAATAGAGTGGCGACCTAGTATTAAAAAAATGAAAAACATAAAAAAAGATATTAGTTCTAGTGACATTGGGTAAAGAGTTGGTTATGTTTATTAAAAAAAAAATCACTAATAAACATTCTTTTATAAGAAAGGTTACCAAATTCATTCTCTCTCTACATCATTTTCTAAAATGATATTTGCCAAAATATTTCTAAGTATATTTTCGAGCTTATTGTTGAGTTAGATTGTTGTGAATTTGGAGTTAATTTGAGGAATTACCTTTTCATATTTATTTTCTATGGGATATGGTTTTATTATCATTGGGTTTTGGCATTAGAAGGAGCGTTAATTTAACATCAAATCTTATTCGATCCTAACACAATCGACGTGTCGTGAACATCGTAGCGAGGTAATGGCCTAATGATTAATTAAAGCTAGTTTGCAGATTAAAAAAAAATGGCCCACACATGTTTATTTCAAGTTTGAAACAAGGATGAGATTTTATGGGTCTTCCATCGGCCTCTAAGAATAATAAACTTGTTGACTTGTTATTGAATCCTAAAAAAAAATTGTTTATTATTATTTGTCTTGAATATGAACCTCATGATAGGTCATCATTGGTCCCTATAGTGTTGGAGATTCATTGACATTTGCACTTAAATTAATTATCATTTAGTCTTTTGAATTAAATCGAAATTTTCAAAAAATCATCGTCGGTCTTTGGAATTTAGGAAACTCATTGGTTTTGTCAAATTTTTAAATAACATTATATTATTATTTTATTTTTTATTTTATTATATTTTTGAGTTAATTCAAGATCTTACGACAAACTATCATGGGTCTTTAAAATCTAAGAACTCGTTGATTTTCCGAAAATTAATAAACAACACAAATATACCTTTCTAAAGCATATATACCATGTAAATAGGAAAAATGAAACGAAAAATATTAAACGATATCTAAAAATTATGATATTTTAGATAGATTTCAATCACATGATATTCACAACATGTAAGAAATTCAAGTGAAAAAGACATCCGTAACTAGTCTAAATGTTCCTAAACCGAAATAGCTCCTAGGAATTAAAAGTTCACTACTTTAGTCCCCCGATCCGTTGTAAAGATTCTTAATCATAGAAATTTAAATAAAGCAACTCTGCACAATCAAAGATCAAAATGTACAAGATGAGAAAAATTTCAAAATTTATTCTTTTTCTTCACCCGTGGTCCAATAGCGTTTTTCTTTCTTAACCCACCACTTTCGTGGCTTTAGTTTCTCAAATTTTTCTTCTTTAATGTGTAAAAATGTGTAAAAACATAGTCCTAATGTTCCTCTACCCTTAAGGAAAAGTGTCAATCTCTAACTACATAAGAATAAAAAGAAAATCACTCTTAAAGTCTCCTTCTCGGTTAGCCATGTTCCGTCCGATTTTGAAACAGCTTTGGTCCAAATTTTTCCTCGTTATTTCATACTTTTTTTCATGTTATTTTGGCATCAATTGAACCCAATACAACTCACATGAGTTTGTTCTAGTTAATGGAAAAGAAAAAAAAAGGGGAAGGTGATGTCTATTTAGTGTTCAAAAATGGCAAAAACGGTGGCCGCTCACACTATGCCGATAACTCCTATCTTCTTTTCTTTCTTCTTTTTACTCTACTTTTTCCTCACTTTTTAGGCTTAGTTAAACTCCAGTGTAACGCTCAAAATACCTTATAAAAAGCTCTCTTTTATTCTCTCGTTTCCTCTCTTTTTCTTTTTCTTTTTCCCCTTTTCTCTTCTTTTTGGTCGAAGGTTTTCTTCTTGCATAGCCCAAGGAATGAACCAAGAAAAACGACTAAGTTCCATCTCAAACGTTCATCATGATGAAATTAATCTTGCCCTTCATTTCTCTTGCTAGTCGGCCTTTTTGTCCTTTAATGCCAACACCAAACAAAAGTTGTAAACACATGCTTTTAATGTGTTTTTTGGATGGGAATTGCAGTGGGTTTGGGGGGCTTTATGCAGCAAGTTTCTTCGAATATGGAGTGCATATGCAGGAGAAGAGAATCCATGTGTTTTGGTTTGATATGGAAGAGGTTTTGAGAGGGAGAGAGAAGGTCGTTTTTTGTCGAGAGAAAAAAAAAACAAAAGATGAAGGAAGATGATGAATAATGTCATCTAAGTTACTCCCTCCTTTTTGGTACTTTTTGTATTTTGATCTTTATACTTTATATTTTCTTTCAATTGTACTCCTAATTGATTTTTCCTTTCTTTGGAATTATCTCAATTTTTCCCTACATTTATCCTTTTCATTATTCTCTCTTTCTTTTTCTTTTGGGATTTTTTTTTGGTTTTTTTATTCTAATTTTTGTAGTCTTTTTTCTTTTGACTTTTTCTGGATGATTTTCTTTTTGTCTTTTCTATTTTTTTCTTTTCTTTTCTTCAACTACTCTAAGAATTAAGAAAAAACTTATTTTGTTTTGAAAATCATAAAAATACTTAAAAATCATGCACAAATTTGGAGAATATGCAACATGTAATTATTTGGAATTTTTTTTTTGTATATATGGATGTTTTTTTTTAAAAAAATATAAGGATTAAAAATAGGTTATGACATGTGATGTAAAAATATGAGAGAGTTAGCATTATGAGCCACGATCACAACCATTGCAAGAGAATGTAGAGCATTGCAAGACAATATGGAAAAGTGAAAGGAACATGGAACATTGCAAGGATCGTGGAGGAGTAAGAAAAAAAAAAAAACTATAAATACAAGTTGTAGAAAGAGAAGAAGAAAACAAGAAAATAGCAACATAATTATCAACACGTAACATTGCAAAAGAACGTAGAGCATTGCAAGACAATATGAAAAAATGAAAGGAACATAGAACATTACAAAGATCATGGAGGAGTAAGAAAACTATAAATACAAGTTGTAGAAAGAGAAGAAGAAAACGAGAAAATAACGAGAAAATAACAACATAATAATCAACGTAGAACATTGTAAAAATAACAACACAATAATCAACTTAACAACACTTGCAACAACGTCAAGACATTCTCAAGCTATAATCAAAGTAGGTTATTAGTTTGGCTCTTTAATTCTATCTCATAACAACAACTCATGTCCGTAATCCTCAATAATGGAATTCATGTGTGAATATTATATCTAGAGGAATAGCTCCAGTTTGTAAGTACTATCTTATATCAATAAATGTAAATTTCCTTTTAAACAAAAACTCTATTTTCCTAGTTTATATGTTATTTAATTTCAGATTTTATAGTGTAAATGTATGTTTTTTATTGCATAGATCTAAGAAGGTTTAGATTATTAGTTTAGAATGATCATTGTTGTGAATAATTATCCTTAAAACCTGCATCCGAACTTATCTAGGTAGATTGTAGACTTCAATAAGAGTTTTACAAATTGATTTCAATTTATTTAACTTAGTGTCATGTTAAGGAGAACACCAAAAATATTTTTAAAATAAGCATTAGAATACATTAAATAGTTAATTTACTTTAGAAAACTTGAGTATCAAAGTTAAATTGCTTTACAAATCATTGTGAAACCGAATAGCTATTTGAATTTTGATGTTAAAAAAAATAATTCATTTTGATTGGGTAGTTAGAGGAATTTGAGGGGGAAAAAACATGATTAATTTTTTTATAACTAAATTTCTCAATGGAGCATTTCAATTCATGAAACTTTCTTTTAACAAAAGTACAACAATTTTAACAATAATTTCTTAATTTTTTAATCTATTTATATTATTCAGATAGAAAAAATAACCAAAAAAAAAGAAAAAAGAAAAAAGAAAAGGCGCCACGTTAAACCTTTGATTTGATTTGATTTTATCCGACTTAAAACCCTGGATTCTTAAAAATCAACATTAACCCATAAACATCCTCAAAACACGATGCGTTCTGTCTTTAGAAATAGAACCCTCCTTCTCCTTAAACCCCATCAACGAAACCATCTCTCTCTACTAAACCCTTCAGTAATCATCCACAGAACATCAACCTCCTCTACCATACTTGAATCTGAATCCCAAAATTATGACCAAAACAAAAAACCCCTTCGCCTCTTATTCCAAGAAGCTGTAGGATTATCTGAAATAACAGAAACAACAAACATCGAAACCCATAAAGAAACCAATGAGTTTAAGCAAAAATTATTTGAGTTAGAGAGAGAAGTGAGGGTTTTAAAAGAATCAGAGTCAAAGAAGGGTAAAGAAGAGACTTTAAAAAATGTGAAGAGAAGAACAAAAGAAGAGACATCGAGTAAGAGTTTGTACTCTGTTTTTTCGGCGAAGAGTGAAAATAAAGTGGAAATGAAGGGAAAGGAGGAAAGGCCTATGGCTTTTAAGGAGGAAAGGAAGAGGAAAGTGGAGAGGGAGGATAGGCCTAAGGTGTTTAAGGAGTTGTCTCCTGATATGGAAATGTTTATTACTCATTTGTATAAAGAAGGGTACTTCACAAATGCCAATTTTCTGAAAGAGGGTAGCTTGGATTTTAGCTGCTTTAATGATAGTTATGGCAGGGATTTTATCAAGTATGCTGCAGAGAAGTTTGGTAAAGATCACCAAGAAATTGCAAAGTAAGTAGATTTCTGGGTTTTTTTTTTTATTTGTTATACATTTTTGTTATTTTGATTATGGTATTATGTTTGTGCTTGGATTTTGAGAGAATGATGGAGAAACTGGAGGTAGTGAAGTTTGGTATACTATGGATGCTTTGGTTTTACTTAGAGAAGCTGAATTCAGTTTATGGTGGAGTTTAAGAAAAAAAATCATAAAATATATTAAAGTTATTGTAATGTGCTAATCGATGAGGGGTCTACTTCTAGCTTTTGAATTTTCATGGATGCTTAGAATTACAATTTAAGGGTAGTCAGACTCTTTCTACGGTGATGGAAACTCAGTAAACGTATATCATGTTCGATTATTGTGTTTTTCTGTTAACTCACCAAAAACTGAGAGAAATTTGATATAATGACATCCTTTCTTTTCTTCAATTGCTGCTATTTTCCCCTTGACATTTTTAAATTTCAATCCTATAGCATGACCAAGGAAGTTAAGTTCTTTTCTTGAAAATGTATGCTTTGCATAAGCATGGTCCAATGCTAGGTAAAGAATTCTAGGATCTGCTGTCTGCTACGTATGCAACCTTATCTAAGAGGATGCCAGTGAGAGTTATATACACCTTTTTAGATTAATCTGCCTGGTTAGACATGAGAGCTTTTGTTGTGCAAACCCAAAGGAGATTGCACAGGAAGAGTTCTCTTTAATGATCTTTCCTCTTCTTTTCTCAATAAAGTTTTTTTGCGTTCTTTTATCTACATCCTCAAAGATTTGATCATGTTCTTTTGAACTTCTCTACATTTTTTTTTTTTTCATGGTCTTCAGATGATTTTGTCCCCTTTCGTGTAAATTAAACAATCCAGGTCCATGGTGCTCCCTGGGTAATCTTGGTCTATTGAATAATTATACAATTCAAGAAGTTTGCTCGTTTAGTTGGGTTCAGAGCTAGGTCTGTGGTATTGTCAACCATTTTTATGTTACAGACAATAAATCTTTATCCCTGAGAATGATTTATTATTGATGCATTGTGTGGGATTCTATAGGAATAAGATCAAGACTCTATGAAAGGCAATTTCTTTTTAGTGCATTGACCAGCTTTGCAAGCTCCCTAGGTGCTTCAGTTCCCCAGGTAGCGCAATAGAGGAATATTTGTACATCAAGTGCAACCTAAAGTTAAAAGACAGGCTTGAGCTTCAGTTTAGCAAGGTGTTTTAATATCCTACTGTCACTCAAGAGAACCTTTTTTCCATCCATTTACTATCAGAAGTGCTGTGAATGCCACAGGAAGGCAAGACGTAACTTTGAACCGAGTTCTAGAGCAGGACAATGTCTCATGTAGAGGGCTCTAGAAGGTCCATTATATAGCTCATTCCTCTTGATGTTATATCCCAATTTTTTCCAGCTGTGTGGCTGATCAAAGCATCAAATGACGTCTTTTATCAAGTTAGTGAAATTTGTAAATGGCGAATGAGTCAACACAGTCTAAGTGTCCATCTGTTAAATGGCTTTTGCAAATGTTTTGCAACTCAAGCCTTCAGGCATCATAGTAAAATTTTGTGCATCTGACTTAGTAGTAACTTCTCTGTAGTTGGTTGGAAGGCAGACAACACAAGAAATATGGCTACCTTTTCGCACACTGTTTTTAACCTAGCATATTAGCTCCATGAACCTATATGTTGATTGCTGCAAGCTTTAAACCTTGGATCTACAGGTGGCTGTCGGGCAGTGACTTGAAAAAGGTGGCTCTTTTTGGTTGCCCTACCCTTATGAGAAAGTGTGTTTTTTCTGCCAAAAGGTTGCGCAATTTTTTTGAGATTCAAGAGGACACTGTAAGTCATCCCATTGTCTCGATAATATCATGTTTATTCCATTGTTCCAACTAGAATGTGGTGACAAACTTCTGCTGTCCATGTATTTGCTCTCCTCAGGTATGTAACAAGTGCGTCTTAAAACGTTCTTGCAATTTTGTGAATCAGAGTGTTTGGAAAGGTGATTTCAAGACTTTGAATTTAGCTGTTGTAATGAGGGTCATCACTTTATATGCGTTGGAGGCAGTCCACCCAGAATTGTTGGTGCCAAATGAGATTATGGTTTCTGTCAATCGATTGTTGGCAGAAATATTGAAGTTGAGTAAAACTGTTCATCAAGCGGTTTAGGGACCAAATTGTGAGTGTTGTAACCTAATTTGCAATGTAATATTTTTCTAATGCATCTCATTTTGATGAATCCTTGTTTGGTTTGCATTGTTATATATTCATTTTTTCCTTCGAATCTTATCTTGCACCTTGAAAGAGATATATAACTTATGAATATGTTAAGAGATTTTGTGCAACAAGAAGAAAAGAAATTTCTTCTCCACTTTTTACTAATTATCTTTGCTGCATGATAAGCATTGCAAAGCTAGGATTTTATATAGTACAAGACATTGAAAACGTTTGCACAGTGAAGAATTTTATTAGAAGATCCTTTCAGATTGCAACAAGAGATTTTTGAGATTCTCATAAAGATGTCTGTCATCAGAAAATATTTGTTGATTATAAAATTAACATGAATTAAATGTTCAAAATAGTTTTCTTCTTCTAAATTTTGCACTTAAGTGGCATATAATAATGGCCAGTGGCCAAGAGAACAAAAACAAAAGAAAAGAAAGGATATATATGTTTGTTAAAGGTAGTTTTTGACAGAAGGCAATTGAATACCGTTTTGAGGAAAAAAAAAAAAAAAAGAAGATCAATTAAGGCTTGTCTCATATTGTTATATGATTATGCCATGTCACTGCTGTGGACAAAAATGTGTAGAGAGACAATTTTTGATAGGCTACGAAGCATCAGCATAATATTTATATACATATGAAGGTAAGTCTCCGCCTACTATAAGAATTTAGTTCCTATGAAAACAAAAAATGTGATCATGCTAGATGGGTTTTATCTGATTGGTTGGTTTCTCATTGAGTTCTAGAAGTGCATCGCAATCGCCCCCTTTGTATTTGTACCATTTAGCACACAGCAAAAAGTAGCCCATGTTTAAGAGCCCCAAACCTGCAATCATGTAATAGTAGTAATCCAGTCTTCCCTTGTTAAGATCTTCTGGTAACCAATTCCCTGTTGCAGCTCCATTTGTTGTTTGGTGAACTACAGCAATCAATAAACTACTCAAATAACTTGAGCCTGCCATGCCACAGTGAAAGAGAGATCCTCCAATGCTTCTCATATTTTCAGGAAACTGCTTGTAGTAGAATTCAACCTGCCCCACGGAACCAAATGCCTCTGCTATTCCTGCTAGAGAGAGCTGAGGGATTAACCATAAAGCCGACATTGATGAAATGGCACCTCTTCTTGGTGCTGTTCCAAGAGTTGGCTTGGTAAGTGCTATGGTCCTTCGCTTCTCTTCAACTAACCCAGAAACTAGCATCGTTGCAACGGTGAGAAAGATGCCAATGCCTATTCTTTGAAGGATTGTTATGCCACCTTCTTTACCTGTAATCCTTCGCAGAAAAGGGACGAAAATTCGGTCGTAGATAGGTATGAAAATACTTAAACTTAGCATCAAGAACACAACATATGTTGCAGCTGGCATCTTGAAGTTGCTGTTTCCAATGCGTCTGTCACTTTGAACTGCTTGGAAGACTACATAGGTGTGTTGTTGGACTATAGCAACAAAGTATATAATAGCAGCTGCCCATACAGGAACCACTCTCAACAAGCATTTTGCTTCTTCCACTTGCTGCAAACTACAAAGTTTCCATGGATCAGCTGGCGATCCATCAGCATTTACTTGGTCTTGGGGGGTCATGATTGCTGATTTGTCGAGGAATCTGTAGGCAGCTTTATCAGTTAAGAGTTAAAATTCTGTTTTGTTTCTTTAGGCGACAAGGACAGGACTAAAATTTAATTTGTGGTCATTATTTTAGTTCTGCAAATTAAGTATTTGCAGTGATTTACCTGAATTGATCTGTGTAAGAAAGCTTGGCATTGATAGACTTGGGAGGAATGTAATTGAAAAGGGAGAGCCAAGGGCGGTCCACTGGTTTTAACTGCCTTTTCTTGACTGCTACCACAAAAACCTGTGCTACGCTGGTCATGGGACTGCCAGTGGCTTTCACTTTGACATACATTTTTGAACCCATGTAGTATAGTACACAAGAAATGAGCATCAGGATTGCCGGAATCCCTAAACCTACAGACCAGCTAACGTTGGATTGCACATAAACAATTAGTGTCAAAGATATCATCTGGGCAAAGGTGAAAGTAAAGAAGTACCAATTGAAGAAGCTATTTACTCCCCTCTTTCCAGATTCTGTGTCAGGGTTGAATTGGTCTGCTCCAAATGCCAAATTACATGGCCGGATGCCCCCAGACCCTATTATCATCAGTACAAATCCTGTCATTAGAAACGTCATGTGACCTGCTGTTGGCCCTTCGCACGTGCTACTCTCCTTTGGACAGTGTGGTGGGTGCAGTTTAGAGATGGCTGCTGTTAGCTGTATCGTAAGCAATCCCAGAAAAGAGGCAACGGTAGCAAATCCTAGCGTCTTGTATCGACCAAAATAAGTGTCACAGAGAAACGCCCCGATCAACGTACTGAAGCTGGCTGTACCACTGAAGACGGTAGTGATAGTTGCAGCTGTAACGCTCTTGATGTTGAACACAGTAGTCAGATAAATCAAGAGGTTGGATAAAGTTCCAAGGGTTCCTAGCTTCTCAAATGTTTCATTTCCTGAAATAATAATGTCGATCAGTATCCCTATCCCTACTTTCGAATTAAAAAAAAAAAAAAAAAAGACATAATTAGCACAGAAATCAAGGAGCAAGCAATTATTTATCACCTATAATAAAAGGCATGACTTTCCATCCTCTGTAGTTAACATGCTTCGCCTCGCCTTTCCCATTGCTTTTATCCATGTTTTCTTTCAGATCAATATCCTCCATAGTTTCTTTATGATCGTTTTGTGGGGTGCCAATATTCGTACTCTCTTGCACGGTTATTTTCCCTTTGTCCTCCCTGGAGGTCTGATCATCTATCTCACTACTCTTCTCCATGGCCTAGTACTTTTCCCCTCTGTGCAGTACTTTTGTAGGGCATCAAAATAACTGGACGGAGCCCGGAGGGACAACTTTCATGTCATCCAATCCTAATTCAATCATGTTTATTTCATGATTAATTAGTGGATTAGTTTGGTCCAACTTTACTCATGTCACATTTCTGTTTGTAAAATATTATTAAGGAACAGGAAATTGAGTTTCTTTCATTGCTTTTTTCCATCTTTCGGCACCATGGAACAAAAAGTCGTCATCAGTGACGTTGAATCCACTACCAAACCAAGGAGAGAAGCGAGAGGTTCTCCATTTTCAAACACTAACGGGATGTGATCATGCGCGTGATTCACCTACTTGTTAATGGTGATAAAGATAAAGATATTTCTTCGTGGTGGTTCAGATTTCAGAACCACACGTATCTCTAATTCCAAAGTTGAGTGGGACGATAGCTTGCCTTATTGTTATACCTAAAAATTGTACCAGTCTTGGAAGCCCAGCAAATCCTAAGGTCATGTGTTGGCAAATTTAGATTTAAGTCATTATTCAAGATGCTTATGGGCTACTCTGCAGGTACTTTACTTGGAGAAGTTATGACAGTTAGAAAGGATAAGAATTTGAAACTAATTCTTGTAACAATCAACGACGAAGCAGACGAGGGTGAAGTAAGAAAAAAGAACTCTTCCGGAAGCAAGAACACTAAGACCTTTTTAACAGAATCAAGGATTACTTGTCCTGTCCTGGTACCTCCAGAACCAGAAAAGTTATTTAATAAAATGTACATTGCAGAAGTAGAAAGCTCAATTAGGAGCTTATTAACGTAGGATAATGATTTAGGTCAAGAACAAACTGACACTGGTTTTGTGACGATGTTGATCGAAGTTGAATTCTCCAACTTTCCAAGTCGTTGCTGACCAAAATTACTCCTCAAATAATCAAGACAGCCGCAACCTCTTTATAACAAAATCTTGATGAAATCCAGAATTCCAACCTAAAATTTAGACGAGGCCGAAACTTCTCACAATAGAAAATCCTAGTTTCCATTGATTTTGATGAGATTTTAAACTCTACCGCAATCTAAACTAATTTGTTGATTAATAAGAATTCCAACCTTAAATGTGGACGACGCCGAAACTTCTCACGATGAAAAATCCTAGTTTCAATTGATTTTGATGAAATTTTAAACTCTCCTGCAATCTAAATTAATTAATTTATTAATAAAAGTACCAACTGATCAATTTTAAAGATACAAATCTTAAGCGCGTTTGAAGTCACAGCCCAGTGATGAGGTTGAAGGTCGCTCACCGATGAGACCCGGGTTCGATTCTCTCTGCGCACGCCTGTCACCCCCGCGGTGTCTTACCCGCCCATTGGGCTTGCGGGGTATTCGGTGGGTCCGAGAGATTAATCGAGGTGCGTGCTAGCTGGCCGGACACCCCGGGTTATGAAAAAGAAAAAAAAAAAAGATACAAATCTTAAGCAAACTTAAGGATATCATGTACAAATCCTAAGCAAAAACATATGGATACGTAAGATAATTTGAGAGAAATTTTTCTAAAATTTTATTACTCCAAAAATTTTGTTTTTTTACTTGATACAAGATGTCTTAAATAATAACTCGAAAAAATGGCTAAACTAAAGAAAACTTGTCCAATTTGGACAATAAAAACTTTAGCCTAATCTTACTAGAAAACATAAGTCTAATCTACATTCGAGAATGACTAATTAATCATAATCCAATTCTAAACAAATATTGACAAAAAAACTAAAGTAAAATGATCGGTTACTATTCACCGTATTATTTAAAATACTATTTATCCAAACTCATTTCTATTATTCACAAAGACTTAGATGCACTATTGTTTGTACTATGTAGTAGTATTTTTGTAGTTCTCAAATATCTTAAAGACATTTATTATGAAAGTTTTTGTGATATTATACTTTAGTCTTTCTTTTTTAAATATTTTTATTTCATTTTGGTCCCTCTTTTTTGTTTCATTTTGATCACTATGGTTCTTTTTTTTTAAATTAAAAATTTGAAGGCAAAAAAAGTGTTTAGAAAAACAATTTACAAAATAAGTTTTTAGCTAAGAATCCATTAATTTTGACATTTTTTTTATACTACTATAAATTTTTTAATTTGTAGATAGAAGTAAATAAATTATGTTTAAAAAATTTATGAAAAATATAAAGAACAATCAGTTAAATCCAAAATTTTAATTAAAAAATTAAATAAATTTTTATTCAATTTTGATTTAGTATATTTTGATATATGTACAATATAACACGAAACATCAAACTAAAATAAATTTTAAAAAATAATTTTATGTGTTCTATCAAACCTGCAAGTGTAACACGAGTAGAATACTAGCTAAATCACTAACACAAAATGTGATATACTTTAATCTTAAACTGTAGTGATCCGTACACAAACAATAGAACAAAAAGTAACACAAAACTCATTTTGAAGTGTTTTAGCAGCCAGGATCATACCCACATTTTGCATTTGAGCTTCTACTTATGCTGTAAATAACCCTACACTATTTGAAACATTTTCCAAGACAACCCTTCCACAGTTTGCACAATATAGTAGTCACAGTTCTATTCATTTCAAGAGTAAATTTCAAGTCACATCATATGATGAATGGATTTTGAATTGTGTGCAACTTGCTCCTTCACCAGTCACTCACTCCTCTTTCCTAGGTACTAAACAACAGCCAACACAAAGAATGGCATGGGAAAGAGGCTAAAAAAAAAAAAAACATGAATGGCTACGAAACAGGAAACAATTCATCTGTCACAGGAGTATCCTAGCAAAACAAAAGGTCGACGATCCGATCTTTATTGACCGGAAGGTGTACCAAGAATATTAAAAAATGGAGGACCAGTTAGTGTTATGCATTCTATAAAGCAAAACCAAAAACCACATCATAGCATTTTCAAAATATTCTACTTAGTTGAGCTGTCCCTGACATAAAAGAGTTGATAGAATAAATGCTGCCAAATTCCATGCTAAAGGAAATATAAAATATAATAATAATAATAAGAGGAAGGAGAAGAATGTAATAATAATAAGGCATGAGAACATATTACCAACTAAGAAATATAATTTATTAAAGCAAACAAGTGAATTCAACCATAAGTTTAAGCAGAAAAAAAAAAAAAAAAAACTTACACCATCAATTGCAATGTTAGAAGTATCAACAGTTGAATGAATGGAGACCCATCATATATGGTGTAGGAGCATCAACATAGTCTACTCCACTGAAAAATAGTAATGGAATGTAGTCATGCTTCAGCACAACGAACATAAAATAATTAGAAGTGAACCAATAAGAGAATCACATTAACATATGAATATACCATCAACCTATCCAAGGAATGAAAAGATTTCAGCTGCGATTATCATCTATAACGATAAAATAAGGTTCAACATAATAAGAAGGCAAACCTAAACATGTTTTTGTACTTTGACAAAAAAACAGTGAACTTCCAAATCATTAAAACTCACTTGCCACCTATAGGGATAAATCAAATGACATATGGCCTCTGATGCTAGGTTTAAAAGTGAATAATAGAGTACAATTAAAAACTCTAAAGATATTAGCAAGCATTATTTGAGCTAATGCTTCTTCAATGGTAGGTGAATCAAGAATTTGCAAACAATCAGCTGCTTTGGTAAAGATTGTAGACTACATTTTAGTAAAGCCTATGGCCTTGAGTGAGAGGGCATGGTAAATATGAAAAATATTTCTAGCCATTTAATTTCAAAATAAATGGCTGACTTGAAATTAAATGGATCTGCAACCAGTCTTCTCAAGTTTTCTATAAAATTGCCGTCTTTAGAAAGAGAGGTGACTTGAAATTTCAGATCGTGATAGTTAAAATCCATTTGCAAACTACAAAAACAGATCCATTAAATTGCTAATATACTTTTCCCTCATTGTATACAAACCCAGGGATTAATAATTGGAGAAAAGGGGCAATCAAATAATGGGAGCTAGTGGCTGGAGCAATGCATAAATACGTCTAAATGGAAACCACACCAATTGCCAATGACATAATTGGACGTTGGCTCCTTTAACATTCCTAAAATATCTAATTCAAAACTTCTCCTGATAGTGGTAAACCATAGTATTGTTGGCATGAGCTGTCCATATCTTGTAGAGTGATTATAGGAGGTTATTTTGTATATCCCTAAAATTACGAGATCTCTCCTAATACTAGCCTTAGACAGATTTGTGCCTTATTTAGCTTTAATTGCACTGTATAAATATCTTATATCCTTAAATGAATAAAGTATCATCTTATTCACCATTCTTCCTTTTTATCATGGTATCAGAGTGACGATTCAAAGACCCATATAGATCTATGTTGCATCTGCCATAGAACCCAAGAAAACCAAAAACAAACTAGACCCAAACAAACCAAAACCCATGACAGAACTAGTCGAGCATGGTGGAAACAAAACTTCCATCATTCTTGAAGATTTGATGCGAGCCTTAACCCAAAACCAAAATCCAAACCAAACTATAACATATGATACTTCTGTTACACAGATCGACATTAAGCTAGATGGAACAAACCATGCTTTATGGTCCCAAGTTATTGAGATGTACATCTCAAGCAAAGAAAAATTGGGATATATCAATTGAGACTTTCCACAACCAGAATCAACAGACCCGACTTTCAGAAAATGGCATACATAGAATGCAATTGTGAAGGGATGGTTGATCAATTCCATGAATCCATCATTGATTAGCAATTTCATTCGTTTTTCAACTGTAAAATTGGTATGGGATTCGATTGCTATGACATATTTTGATGGAACTGACATATCTCTAGTTTATGATTTGAAGAAACAAGTGGCTAGGATGAGACAAGACGGAGGATCCATTGAGTCATATTATAATGGTCTTCAAAGCTTATGGAGAGAAATTGATTTTCACTGCCCAAACCCAATGGACTGTGCTGGTGATATATAAAAATACAATAAAATCCTGCAG